CCCGCAGGGTACTCCCTCCCCTGGGCGAGGCTCACCTGCAAAGCACCGATGGCAGCGCTCTGGAAGCGCAGATCTGTTTTGAAGTCCTGAGCAATTTCACGCACCAGGCGCTGGAAGGGAAGTTTGCGGATCAAAAGTTCGGTCGACTTTTGATAGCGCCTGATTTCACGGAGAGCCACGGTACCCGGCCTTTTAATTTTAATTAAAAAAAAACAAAACAAAAAAAATTAGTATTCAAAACATGTTCTACACCACCTTAAGAATACGGGTTCATCTACTGAACTAAGCACCACAGACATTCTCTTTCCACTAGAAGAGCCCCAGCGTTTACAATACAAAACCAGTTTCACTGGCAAAGGGTCCCCGGTTTCTCACTATCGATCTGTGCAAACTTCCGCTGGCCCCAGCAGGGATCCCTCAGGCCCCGACTTCACCAAGGGGAGAGGTGGACAGCACACGTCAGCTAACCGATGCTAACGCATCTCGGGGCGGACGCGGCAAACCGCAACGCTGCCGTGAGTTAGCTGGTTCGGCTGTAACGCAGGTGCCCTCCTAGCCGTCGGCCCGATGGCAAGCACAGGTTTTAGGGGTTCTTCCCCAAGACGCTGTCAGTATTCACAGAACTAAGAGAATTTGTATTCTGTGTTGTATTATCAGTACAAAGTATCTAGCGTACTTCCCGGTGTTAGTTTTGGTGTCAGAAGGACAAATTCAGATTAATGATGCACTTCTGCAGACTCAAAGTCCATCGGTGAAATTAATACCACATTTATTTCTGTGGAAACTTGGTATTTTTCCTGCTCCAGGTTTACTACCTTTCTCCCAGTCGATTAATTCTGCCTCACACCTGCAGCAAGAAGACTTTTAGATTTTAAACCCGCTTCACCTTCCCAGTCCACTTTTTCCCCGTGGAACACGTACACCGAGCCCGTGAGCTGTTACCGTTCCACAGCGAGCAAGGACGGGAAAACTTCATCACTAGAGGACCGTCCAAAAGATCCGCCGCCCGTTCCAGCCTATATCCTCCCGCCAATACAGAGACAAACGCCTCTATTTGGGACGGCCAAGCGCAGGGCAGGACCGTTCGGGGAGGCCCCGCGCATCCGTGGGCAGGTCGCGCCCTCGCGTGGCAGATCACCGCCCCTGCACGGCCGCCACCGCCGGCACGGCGCGGAGGACGGATCTAGACCTTCGCAAGTCAATTAAGATACGCCGGTAACAATAAAACTTCGCGGCGGCGCGACCCTGCTGCAGCATTTCAATAACCAGAAGTAAAAAATAAAATTAAATTTAAAAAAAAAAAACAAAAAACGCAGAGGCGCGTTCGCTGTAAGGCGGGCTAGGTTTTTTTGGTTTGGTTGTTTTTTTTTTTTTTTTTTTTTTTTAGGCACCGCTACCAAAACGCCCTAAAAGGGGCTAATGATAAATCCCGGGTCGATGCCCGCGCTGGGCCCTTACGGTAATTTTTTTTTTTTTTTTTTGCGGCAGGCGGGG